AGGGACAGTGCCCAAGCCCAGAGTTCAGGCCCCAGGACCAACAACAACAAAAAGTTATGTAAAAAGTACTTGTGTGGGCTGGGAATGTGGCTTAATGGTAGAGTGCTTGCCTTGGGTTTCCTTCCTCAGTACCACATAAACAGAAAAAATGGTGCTCAACTGGTAAAGTGCTAGTAGCCTTGAGCAAAAGAATCTCAAGGACAGTGTCCAGGCCCTGAGTTCAAGTCTAGGTCTGGCAAAAAAAAAAGTGCATGTGGAAGGGTGGACAGAGGGGTGACAGTAGAGCCTGCTGTGTGGATTCTTTCATCTTTGGGAGTTGTGGGGCTTGAACTCTGGGCCTGGGCGCTGTCCCTCAGCTCTGCAGCTCAAGGCTATCGCTCTACCACTTGAGCCACAGTGCCAACTTCCAGCCTTTTCTGTTTATCTGGTGCTGGGGAATTGAACCCAGGGTTTCATGGGTTCATGCTAGGCAAGCACTCTACCACTCAGCCATATTCCCAACCTCATCAACTCCATTCTTGCTAAGTCTAAAGTCTTCCCCGAGCCCCCACTGCCTCAGGGTTACCTATGCAACTTTCAGTGGAAAACATGGGAGGACTCACGTCTCCCTCACCCTCTTTGAACCCAGGCCATGGAGGAAGGGAGGGACTGGCTGTGGCTGCTACAAACCATTCCTTAAGATATTTTCCCAGAACCCAAAGGCAGGAAAATTACTAAGAAAAGGATCCTACAAAGACCAGAGTGGAGGTGGTTTCCAGCACGTCCTAGACACGCACACATTGTCCCCAACACGTCCAGACAGTACAAAGCCTGGAGGGGACAACTAAGAAATTCCCATTGTATTGGAAGACTGCCCAGGCTGGGTGAGCTCCACCCCTTACACTCTTACTGTGTCCTTAGCTGACACTTTTTGTTTGTGAGCCTGTTCTTTGAACTTGTTCTCTCACACAAAGCTAGAAGCCCTCCCTGGGTTAGGGAATAAGAGTCTAACCCTGCTGGGGCTAAGTTAGGAGATCAGTTCTGTGTCAGAGAGTAGAGGTAGTGAGCCAGACATTCCAGTATTGGACCGAACACAGGACAGAGATTATTATGGCAGCAGTTGGACCCCAACCCCTTTCTGGGGTTGGCCCTTGATCCTTCATAGGTGAGTGAGGGACCTCTAGGCAAAGCCAGGGACTGCAACAAGGTGGACACTCTCCAGAAATCTGACACTTTTTTTTGTTGCTGTTGTTGGTCCTGGGACCTGAACTCTGGGCCTGGATGCTGTCCCTCAGCTCTTCAGCTCAAGGCTAGAGCTCTACCACTTGAGCCATAGTGCCACTTCTGGCTTTTTCTGTTTATGATGGGCAGGCCAGGTGCTGGTGGCTCATGTCTGGAATCCTAGCTACTCAGGAGGCTGAGTCCTGAAGATCGAGGTTCAAAGCCAGCCTGAGCAGTTAAGTCTGTGAGACTCTTATCTCCAATTAGCCACCAGAAAACCAGAAGTGGTGCTGTATATCAAGTGGTAGAGTGCTCGCCTTGAGCTGAAGAGCTCAGGGACAGTGCCCAGGTCCAGAGTTCAAGCCCCATGACTGACAAAACAAAACAAAAACACTCGAGGATAGCATAGCTCTCAGGCCCTGAGTTCAAACCCCACAGCCAAAATCAAAACAAAAACAAACCAGAGGTGCAATCTAAGGGCCAGTATGAGGGTTCCAATCTATTCTTCTCTGGCCAGCAGGAATTGTTAGCAGAATGGGGCCACCTTGAGATTAGGGTAGTTCTCTAAGTTTCAGGGTTTGAGGAGCACAAGCTCCCATTCAACTACATCCTTGTGGGAAAAAGAGTTCAGGACCAAAGCTTCAGCCTAGGCAAGCACCAGTGGTTCACACCTACAATCCTAGCTACTCAGGAGGCTGAGATCTGAGGATTGTGGTTTGAAGTCAGCCTGACAGGAAAGCCTGTGACTTACAATTAACTAGCAAAAATACCTCAAAGTGGATCTGTGGCTTAAGAGATAAAATACAAGCTCTGAGTCAGAAAGCTCAGGGACAGTGCCCAGGCCCTGAGTTCAAGTCCCAGGACATCCAAAAAAAAAAAAAAAAAGCTAAGCTAGGGCAGCAAAACCCTGAGTTCAAGACTCAGTACCGACACACACAAAAAAAGAATAAAATACAGCTGTATTGGGCAGGATTGCCCCTTGAGACAAGGGCACTGACTGACTCAACTTTGAGCTCCTCATACTGGATTTGGTTATACACTCCTAGGACAAAAAGCCAGAAACCGGGGGGGGGGGGGGGGGGGGGGGGGGGGGGGGGGGGGGAAGGATTGGGGGGGAGGGGGGAGGCTGGGAAGGGATGTGAAGGGTAAACAAAGGAGGAGGCTGCAATGCTTGGTAAGAAATGTATGCATTATCCTGCCCATGTAATTGTAACCCCTCTGTACAGTATGTTCACAAATAAAATTTAAAAAAAGCCAGAAACCTTAAAGTAATCCAGATATGGCCTGACCCCTGCTGGCCAGATTGGCAAATTGCAGCGCCGCTAAGGTGTTTTGTTTTAGCATCTATCTGCACTTGTCCCAAAGACCTCATTCTATAGACCTCCAGTTGTTCCAGGTACAGTGGGCTCAGGATAGGAATGGGAGTCTGTGCTGGAGGTACTCCTTGCACCCATGCCAGTGACCATTATCTGGCCGGTTTTTACTCATTCATTTCTCCTGTGTGTGTGTGTGTTTTCCAGGACTGGGCTGGAACTCAGGGCCTCTTGCTCTCACTTGGCTTTTTTTACTCATCTATCTACCACTTGAGCCACACTTCCAGTTCTAGCCCTTTTTTGCTGGTTTTAGTTGGAAATAAGTGCCTCGTAAATTTGTCTGCCTTTGGCTGGCTTCGAACTACAATCTTCACATCTCAACCTTCTGCATGCCTAATATTACAATTGTGAACCACAAGTACCTGTTCTCTCTTTACCTGTTTACTAGATAAAAAGAATAAACAGCCTTGGAGGAATTGGATAGAAAGGCTATTGCTGCACCCTAACAATACAGAATAGAGTGATTTTTGCACCTTGGCTCAGTGCAGGTCTGCAGAGGGAGAAAGGAGCAGGCCTATTGCCAAGCAGGATAAAGGTGTTTGGCTGGTGCTTTTTGTGTCAACATCCATCCCTAAGGGCTGACTGGCAAACGTCCATTTTTTATTTTTGTTGGTTGTATGGCTTTGAATGCTGGGCCAGGGCGCTGTCCTGAGTTCTTCAGCTCAAGGTGAGTGATCTACCACTTGAGTCACAGTGCCACTTCTGGTTTTCTGGTGGTGAATTGGAGATAAGAGTCTCACATGCCAGGCGCCAGTGGCTCACATCTGTCATCATAGCTACTCAGGAGGCTGAGAACTAAAGATCATGGTTTAAAGCCAGCCTGGGCAGGAAAGTCCGTGAGACTCCTATCTCCATTAACCACCGGTAAGTGGCGCTGTGGCTCAAAGTGATAGAGCACTCGCCTTGAACTGAAGAGCTCAGGGACAGCAACCAGGCCAAGTTCAAGCCTCACAAACAACAACAAAAAATCTCACAGACATTCTTGCCCCTGCTGACTTTGAAACTCGATCCTCAGATCTCAGCCTCCTGAATAGCTAGGATTACAAGCATGAGCCACTGGCACCCAGCAAAATAATGGATTTTTGACACCTGCCATCACATAAAGCAATGAGGCCAAAACAAGCATCCATCTCTGACCAACCTTTCTCATGCTATTTCAAATGACTAGCATGGAGATGACAATTTCTCTCTCTCTTGTTATTTTTCTTTTTGTTTGTTGGTCTTGGGGCTTGAACTCTGGGCCTGGGCACTGTCCCTCAGCTCTCCAGTTCAAGGCCAGCACTCTACCACTTAAGCCACAGCACCACTTCCAGTTTTCTGTTGGTTAACTGGAGATTAGTCTCACAGGCTTTCGTGACTATGCTGGCTTTGAACCATGATCCTCAGATCTCAGCCTCCTGTGTAGCTAGGATTACAGGCGTGAGCCACCGGTCTCTCTCTCTCTCTCTTGCCTTTCCTGGGGCTTGAAGTCAGGGCCTGGGCACTGTCCCTGAGTTTCTTTTGCCCAAGGCCAGTGCTTTACCACTTGAGCCACAGCACTATGTGTGAGGTACTGAGGAATCGAACCCAGGGCTTCATGCATGCTAGGCAAACCTTCTACCACGAAGCCACGTTCCCAGCCCTGAGATTTCTAAGGAATCTTTATGTGGTAGGCATCCTCCAAATCACAAATCTAGCTTTTTTCTTTTCCTTTCACAGATTTCCATTCATGGGAATGCTTCTGTAACCGAGCATATGATGCTTGGTAGAATTGTGGGAGGCATTGTATATTTTACACTTATTTAATAAAGAGACAAAACAAAACAACAATAACAAAACAACAAAATAGCCCAGAGAGAAAAGCAGGGCAGATGTGGTGGTTTATGCCTGTAATTCCAGCTACCAGGATCATGGTTCAAAGCCAGCATAGACACGAAAGCCTGTGAGACTAATCTCATTTAACCAACAGAAAACTGGAAGTGGTGCTGTGGCTTAAGTGGTAGAGTGCTAGCCTTGAACTGGAGAGCTGAGGGACAATGCCCAGGCCCAGAGATCAAGCCCCAAGACCAACAAACAAAAAGAAAAAAAACAAGAGAGAGAAAAAAAAGCCGGAAGTGGTGCTGTGGTTCAAGTGATAGAGCGCTAGCCTTGAGCTGAAGAGCTGAGGGACAGTGCCCAGGCCCAGAGTTCAAGCCCCATGACCGGACCCAGGATTACAGGTGTGAGCCACCAGTGCCCCGCCCAACAAGAACATTTTTTTTTTTTGAGCTCCTCAGCTCAAGGCTAGCGCTCTACCACTTGAGCCACAGTGCCACTTCCGGCTTTCTCTACTTTTTCAAGGGCTTATAGACTAATTCCACAGTGTACTGTTAGATGAGGACTAACAGGCCTTGGAATCTAAAAGAGAAGACAAAATATGACACGACAGAAGACACTAAGACCAAGAAGTCACACAGGATTTGTCAGCCTTTATTAACCAAGAGTGAAGCCAAGCCCTAGAGTTTCCTTTAAAAAACATAAACAAAAACAACCAAAAACCAAAACCCCAAGCTTCTTTATGGCAAACAACGATTTAACTCTTAATGACTTTAAACTATATTTTCAATACCACAGAGCAAGTCTTGTTTGCTTTCTAACCACTTTTCTTCTAAGATTAAAATACAAGTGTAAAATAGGTTAAAATAAGATTTACCCCCAACAATTTATAAAATAATTCCAATTGAAAGACATTTCAAACGCTGTGTGTGGAACTTAGGACCAAAAGATGATCTTAAAATATATTTTTTTTAACCTTTGAGGTAGCACAATAATGCTGAATTAGGTTTCTTTAATTACAATGAGCTTAAAAACAACAACAACAACAACAACAAAAAAAGAGGAATCTATCCTTTACTCAAGGTGGGCTAAATGATTTTCTGCAAATACCTCATGAGGTTACTGACAGTTTTCATCCTTTTTTTTTTTTAAATTGTTTTAAAGTATAAAGATAGCCCTACAGTGTGTAAAAGGAAACCCATGGGAAGGCTGTTTCCCATAAAATAGACATTAGAGTCACTGAGGATCGTCAGCAATCAAGACAGGAGGAACAAGAGGTAATGGTAGTGGTGAAAAAAAAAAAAAAAAAAGGTCAGATCTTGGCAAGAATGGTTTACAAGTGCATGTTAAAACAAAATTCTAACATCAACCAACTGAAACAGAAAAGACGAAAGATGACATTCATAGATCCTTCTCCTTTCTCTCTGTGCAAAGTATCTGCACTTTTTTTCCCTCAATGACAAAAGATTGCTCGTACACTGTGACACACCACAAAACGCTGCTGTGTATGAGTGTCACTGGGTATCAATAGCATCTTTGACTACTCTTATTGTGAGTCTGGGCAATCAGATTCTCTAGCTGGAGAAACTTTTCTTGCCACTTTGCTGAATTCGCTCATGAAATTGCTCAAAAAAAAAAAAAAAAAAAAAGCTCTACGCTGATTTCTGGCCATCTATAGCAGTGACATATAATTATACATGAAGACTGTGAACTAAGAGGATACAAATACATAAACCCTTTCTTCAGAGAATTTAATCACTAGAGTGGGTGGGATATCTTGGGACCAAAAGGAAGAACAATACTGCAGGTTGGACCTCAAGGCCCTTTGGAATATTCTTCTCATCAAAAAAAAAAAAAAAAAAAAAAAAGACTATAAAGTCAGAAAAGAAGAGGTAAAGTTCTAACCTTTAGAAGAGAACATGAAACAGTTAACAAGGAATCTCTTCCCAACATATGCTCCTTCTTAAGAGGCTAAATCATCAAATGTAGGGCTTTGCCTGGCACAATGTAGACACCCCAGCCATCTTCAAACTTGGGTTTGCCATCTTTGACTCTCCAAGCTAGAAAGAGAACTGGAACACTGTCAGGTCCTGGCATGGTGGTATGGCTATGTCTTTTTTTACTCACATTATTCTCTTGAATGTCTCCTCCCCTCTGTCCTCAAGCTTGATGTATTCTTGGCTCAACCCACCACAGGTCTCCTGCTTCCAAGTGAGGATTCCAGACTGATGACCTGTTGTCACTTATGAATTCTACTCTGTAAAACAGCAACCATTAGCAAACCTGGAGTGTCAGGGAGGACTCTGAATGGGAAGACTAGACTGAAAACTGGGATGTGGGAGGAGCAGGATGAGAAGGCCCATCCTTTGTAGTCTGCAGGAGTAACTCTGGCACAAGATTCAGAGCCAGCCCTAACCAATGCTGGCATCGAGGGTAGAGATGGGGTTTATCTCAATGTTTTTTTTATATAGTCCTTACTAGGTTTGGGGCTGGATTTTTGTGTTACTCCTGAAGCCTAATGTACCTTTTTCCTCATTACAAAAAACAGGAATGCTTCTTGTCAAAGTGCAAGGTCTACTTTCTGAATTTATTGACGAATAAAGCAACACGATAGAAAAGAAGACCCTTAGGAAAAGGTGGGATTACTGCCTGGGTTTTCCCAGTGCTCAGCTGCCTGGTTTTGAGTATTAGTTATAGCCTTTCAAGATTCTAAAAGTTGCAAGGGAGGCAGTCTGAAAGAGTCTTGCTTTTACTTCATGGAACACATGAAAGGAGGAGGAATTACCAAGTTGGGGGGGGGGCTACCCACTCTGAAATCTCTTGGCAACTGTGTCCATGGCAAAAGCAGACAGTCTTACATGGATAATGATGGTATTATAATGGGCTCCATTATTATCAATATCAGGAATGATTCAAGCTCCAGCACATAATTGCTTAAGGATTTACCGAGAAATGAACATGTTATCAAGAAAAGAATCATAGTGGAGAGGGTCTATTGAGCTAATATAAATTTGGCTTACAATATTTGAATTTGTGCAAATTTCACATTATTTATAGGATCCCTTGTAGCCTCTGAACCTGTCATTCTGAGGGAAAAAATTTTCATCCTAAACTGTAGCTATTAAAATGAATTCTACTTAATATAAATTAAAAGGCTTAAAAAGTTAAAATACTATCTAAATTATGTTCCTTGAGGATTAACAGATAGAACGCCACCTATCCCAACATTTTGACTAGAAGGGACTTCACAGTAATTCTGTAAATGAGTTTTCTTTTTGTTTTTCAGTGCTGGAGATCAAACCCAGGGCCTTGCACATGCTAGGAAAGCACTCTACCACTGAGATACATGTATCGTAAATACATGTATCGTAAGACACCTCTAATGAAGCCAATTTCTTGAAACAAATCAATTTTCACAATGAATGCCTGAGTCAGCTGATAAACTCCACATGTACTAATATGTCCAAGGGGAATGCCCTAGACCAATAGTTTCTTTTTAAAAATAACTTTCTTAAAGAGTTGAAAAAATGGATGATCCATAGCCAAGCTATGCAACAATGAACTCAGAAGTAGAAGGAAAGGGCTCTCTGTGTAGCAAAACCTGTTGTTAAGTGTACTGCCCTTAACCAGAGGCAGCAATAGGAACTGAGAAGTGGCAGAAGTTGTTCAGCCAAGTATTTAGGTCAGAGAAAGCATTGACACCTCCAGACCCTGGCTTCTTGGCTCTCTAGCCAGTTGAGCTAACTGGTACCCTTGGCTCCTCAGACATCTGTTCATGCAAACTACACGGAGATTAAACAAAATAAAAATCTGTTTAAAACACAACAGAAAGAAAATACAAAACCCAGAAAACCTTTCCTGGCTCAATGCACTGATTCCAAATTTACTGCTCTAACATGGGTCCTAGTGACTTTTTAATCTGTTCTGGAGTACTGACTTGCTAGGGCCCTCTAACAGGGTCTTTCGCTAAGTATCACTGAGGGCTTGGAGACAGACAGCTGTTAGGTGTGCAGCTGTCAGGAGACAGTACAACAAACGCTGGACCATGGATCTCCAGGACATGTGCTGCCCTTTTCCATTACAAAACCAAAAGCAGCAACGGTGAACCAACTGTGGGACTTTCTCAAAAGACAGATGAGGAGGTTGAAAGCTACAACAGTTCCTCCCTTAAGAGAAGAAGAAGGTGTCTAAAGTTATTTAACAGGTTTCCGCAGAACTGTTGAGTAACTTCCAAAAAAGCAATAGTAGCAGCGAGAGAGGAAAAGGAGGATGTTTTACACTTTGGACTTTTTATCAGGCACTTAAAATTTGTTGGAGAGACATGCCATTCTGAACCAAAGATGTGAAAACTGGGTTGGAGTAATCATTACAAGTGGTCTAGTGGGCTTTTCAGAAGCAAAGTGGAGGTGTAGGTGGAACCTCTTGTCCATCCTTTAGTGCTGACTTTCAAGTTGTCTAAATGCCCGTAACCACAGCAATGGCAGCGGCCATGGTAACAGCAGGAACAGTTCTGTCGTGTCTGTTTTTCTGTGTGTGTTCTGTGGCTGACCAGAAGATGTTGGTGTCACACTGAGAAGGCTCTGGGAATGTGGCACAGCTACTCTCCGGGGTCAACCAGATCCATGTTGGAGCCAAACATCTTCACCAGCTGCTCCTCGTAGTTTGAGATGTTCCTCTTCATGATGTCCATGCAGGGCCCCAGAAGCCTCTCGAATGCTTGAACATCCATAACTGCATCGTGAAAAGGAGAGATGAAGGAGAGATACAATGAATAGTTGGAGTCATTTTCCTCATAGAGACTTTGTTGTATATATCCTCATGTGGTAGATTATACACTTTGGGATAGTGGGTAACGGTGGGTGGGAAGAGAGATGTTGCTATATAAACACAGCAGGTCTGTGTTATCTGAGGGTCAGTGAGTCTAGAAGCCACCTGTTTGCATGTCTTTTTTTTTTTTTTTGCCAGTCCTGGGGCTTGAACTCAAGGCCTGGGCACTGTGTCTCTGAGCTTCTTTTGCTCAAGGCTAGCACTCTATCACTTGAGCCACAGTGCCACTTCCAGCTTTTTCTGTGTATGTGGTACTGAGGAATTGAACCCAGGATTTCATGCATGCTAGGCAAGCTCTCTACCACTAAGCCACCTTCCCAGCCCTGTAACCCCTCTGTACATCACCTTGACAATTAAAAAAAAAAAAAAGACATTCATTTCTGATTGGTCAAACTGCCCAGGCCTAGATACAAGTGAGAACTGACAGAGTAAGTTAAAGCTACTGACAGGAAAACAACACTGCACATTAGGAAAAGAGAGAATTTTCTTACCTAAGCATTTGACATCTCCAACTGCGTATGCTGAAGCCGCTCTGGGTTTGTTGGTGACCAGTGCAAGCTCTCCAAAGTACTGCCCCTTATGGCAGCGGGCAATCTCAACCTCCTGGCTGCCAGCATCCTTGCTTGTTTTCGTCTACAGCAGAAAGAGAAGATGACCTGGATTAAAGTTGGACATGGCCAGTTACATGCACTCAAATTTTTCAGAAACTCTACCATGGAAACCCCATGGATTTTACCTGGGGCTCCTTCCAGGTCTTAAAATCTTTTAGGTAATGAATACCCATCAAGAGCTAAGGTACAGACCATTTTTTTTTTCTTTTTCTTTTGTTGGTCATGGGGCTTGAACTCTGGGCCTGGGGGATATCCCTCAGCTCTTCAGCTAATGGTGAGCACTCTACCACTTGAGCCACAGTGCCACTTCTGGTTTTCTGGGTAGTTTATTGGAGATAAGAGTCTCACTGAGTTTCCTGCCAAGGCTGGCTTTGAACTGCGATCCTCAGATCTTGGCCTCCTAATAGCTGGGATTATAGGCATGAGCCACCAATGCCTGGCTCTTATTTATTTATTTATTTATTTATTATTTGCTATTTTATGGAGCTTGAACTCAGGGCCTGAGTTTCTTTTTGCCCAAGGTTAGCACTCTACCAGTTGAGCCACAGTGCCACTTCCAGCTTTTTTTCTGTGTGTATGGTACTGAAGAATGGAACCCAGGGTTTCAGGCATGCTAGGCAAGCACTCTATCACTAAGCCACATTCTCATTCCCAGAACATTTTCTGGGAATTATACATACTTCTAGAGATGCAGACTACTGAGGTGCAATAGAAAAACCATAGTCTTCTACTAATTCTAAATAATGACAATCTTCTCATATATTAAAAACCACAACCTTGACTCTTTTTTTTTTTTTTTTTTGGTCTGTCATGGGGCTTGAACTCTAGGCCTGGGCGCTGTCCCTCAGCTCTTCAGCTCAAGGCGAGCACTCTACTTGAGCCACAGTGCCACTTCCAGCTTTTTCTGTGTGTATGGTACTGAAGAATGGAACCCAGGGTTTCAGGCATGCTAGGCAAGCACCCTACCACTAAGCCACATTCCGCTGTCCCTCAGCAATTAAGCTCAAGGCGAGCACTCTACCACTTGAGCCACAGCGCCACTTCCGATTTTCTAGTGGTTTTATTGGAGATAAGAGTCTCATGGACTTTCCTGCCTGGGCTGGCTTTGAACCGTGATCCTCAGATCTCAGCCTCCTGAGTAGCTAGGATTACAGGCGTGAGCCACCGGCGCCCAGCCCTTGACTCATTTTGAGACTGTACCTGTCTTACACATTTTTTTTCATGGTACTAGGGATTGAACTCAGGGCCTTACATGTGCTAAGCAAACATTCTACCACTTGACCGTTCCTAATGGATGACAAAATTTCTCTTCTTGTGCCAGTTGTAGGGCTTGAACTCAGGGATTGGCCACTGTCCTTGAGCTTTTGTGCTAAAGGCTACTGTTCTACCACTTGAGCCACATCTCCACTTCTGGATTTTTTTGGTTGACTGGAGATAAAGAGTCATGGAATTTCCTGCCCAGACTGGCTTTAAACATCCGTCTTCAGATCTCAGCCCCTTGAGCAGCTAGGATAACAGGCATGAACCACTGGTACCGGACTTTAAATATTCTACATCTGTATTAATGAATGGGTTTAAACATGGGTGGGCCTCTGGCAGTCACATATTAATGACGTTTTGATAGAACAAAACACAGTTCAGATTATTTAAAGTAAATAATCTCCACCTTCACATCACCACACAAAAACTCACCTTGCTTCTTATCAAAATGCTCACTTCGCCAGATTCTATGATGAAAAAACTATCAGCCTTGTCACCCTGCAGGAAAAGAGGTCAAGTCAGAGCAATACATAGCACTGAAGAGAACCAGAAAAATAAACTTTTTCACTGCCTGGGCTTCATCTGTATTTATTTCTAAACCTTTCAAGTGAATCAATGGCTAACAAATTCAGAATAAGTGTGGTGCTGTGGCTCAAGTGGTAGAACTAGCCTTGAGCTGAAGAGCTCAGGGACTGCGCTCAGAGTTCAAGCCCCATGACCAAAAAAAAAAGAAAAATACAAATTCAGAATAAAACTTGAAAATTCTGATCACTAAGAGCATGAACCCAACTATGACTGACACATCTTAAGTATTCACCTTCTCCTTGGAATATGCCCAGGCTACCAACTGTACAGAGCATTGCTGTTCTGACTCTCAGGTTGGTTTCCTATTTAAACCTGTGATAATCAAAGACTAGTAACCAAGACTGCTATTCAATAATGTAAGGTGAGCTGGGAGCTGGTGGCTCACGCCTGTCATCCTAGCTACTCAGGAGGGAGGCTGAGATCTAAAGATTGTGGTTCAAAGCCTACCCAAGCAGGAAAGTTTGTGAGATTCTTAGCTCCAATGAACTACCAGAAAACTGGAAGTGATGTTGTGGCTCAAATTAGTAGAGCACTAGCTCTGATCAAAAAGAGCTCAGAGACAGCACCCAGGCCCTGAGTTAAAGATCCACAACTAACAATAAAAGTGTGACTGTGTCTACTCTGGGAGATTGGGATTCAGAGATAATCTTTTTTCTTTTTTTTTGGTGATGGTTCTGGGCTTGAACTTGTGCCTCACATGCTCACTTTTTTTTTTTTTTTTTTTTTTGGTCGGCCGTGGGGCTTGAACTCTGGGCTTGAGTGCTGTCCCTTAGCTCTTCAGCTCAAAGCTAGTGCTCTACCACTTGAGCTACAGCGCCACTTCTGCTTTTCTGGTGGTTTACTGGAGATAAGAGTTTCACAGACTTTCCTGCCTGGGCTGGCTTTGAACCTTGATCCTCAGATCTCAGCCTCCAGAGTAGCTAGGATTACAGGTGTGAGCCACCAGCACCCAGCGATATTTTCTGCTAAAGATCTGACAATCTACTATTTGAACCACAGTTCCACTTCTGCCTTTATAGTAGCTAACTGGAAATAAGTCTCATGAGCAAGCTGGCTTCAAATTATGATCCCCAGATCTCAGCTAGGACTACAGGTGTTAGCTACCAGCACCCAGCTTATTATTTATTTATTTATTTTTGAGACAGGCAGGATCTTGGTATGTGCCTAGGTTGGCTTTGAATTTTTAATCACCTTGCTTCAGCTTTCTAAGTGCCAGGATTACACAGGGAAGCTGAGGCAAATTTAAAAGAATTAACAGAACATTTTGAGATGTCATTTAGACACCATTTTTATTAGTTCCGATTGGATTTTTCCCCCCAGTCCTGGGGCTTGAAATCAGGGCCTGGGTACTGTCCTTGAGCTGCTTTTGCTCAAGGCTAATGTTCTACCACTTGGACCACAATTTAATTTCTGGCTTTTTGGGTAGTTTAGTAGAGATAAGAGTCTGGGCTGGCTGCAAACTGTGATCTTGAGATCTCAGCTTTCTGAGTAGCTAGGATTATAGGTGTCTGCTACTGGTACCCAGCACTAATGGGAATTTTTGTTTTTTGGGGGGAGCCAGTCCTGCACCTTGAACTCAGGGCCTGTCCCTGAGTTCTTCAGCTCAAGGCAAGAGCTCTACCACTTGAGCCACAGTGCCATTTCTGGTTTCTAGTTGTTTATTGGAAATAAGAGTCTCATGGACTTTTCCTGCCTGGGCTGGCTTTAAACTGTGATCCTCAGATCTCAGTCTCCTAAGTAGCTAGGATTACAAGTGTGAGCCACTGGCAGCCGGCACCTTTGCTTCTTGAGTAGAATTACAGTTATGAGCCGCTTCTATGGTTACAAAGAATTAATTACAATAGATTAGGCTGGTGTTTCTTTCAGAATCAAAAAATAACATGAGAAACAGGCGCAGAGGAAACATTAGGCTAGTTGATTACAGAAATCTAAGAACTCTGGTTTGTGTTGCTAGACAACAGGATGTCTTCATATCAAACACAGAGAAGGTAGAGGGCACCAATTTCCAATCTTATTCAGGTTTTTTTTTTTTTTTTTTGTCAGTCGTGGGGCTTGAACTCTGGGCCTGGGCGCTGTCCCTCAGCTCTTCAGCTCAAGGCGAGCGCTCTACCACTTGAGCTACAGCGCCACTTCCGGTTTTCTGGTGGTTTATTGGAGATAGGAGTCTCACAGTCTCTCCTGCCCGGGCTGGCTTTGAACCTCGATCCTCAGATCTCAGCCTCCTAAGTAGCTAGGATTACAGGCGTGAGCCACCAGCGCCCGGCTCTTATTCAGGTTTTAACAGTAAGGAATGAAGATTACTCAAGGTAATCTTCAAATACCTAAAAGAACAGAAATTAAAAGCCCAAGGAAGGCGAGTGGAAGCAAGAGGTCTGAATATCTCAGTGAGATGCACACCAATGGGCTGTACACCAAAGGACTGCGCAGGCCCTGTGACTTATTCCCTGCAATGAGCTCCCAACAATGGAAGACATGGTGGTGGCTCACTCCACAGTCCAGGCTGGCCTCAAACTCAGGACTTCTTTGCCTTGGCCTCTCAGATGCTGGGATTACAGGCCAATGGATCTAGTTCTCATTCATCTTATAAGAGAAGTAATGCACTAGCTCTTCACCTGGTGACTTCTAGGAGGGGAACAATGCCAAGGCCCTACTTACCTGAGCAATTATGCGCTCTCCATCCTTATAAACCTTTTCTCCTATTACATCCACAATCTTCATTCTTTCTGACACCTAAACAATAGATACAGTCACAGATTATAAGGAAAAGAACTTAGCTGAATTTCATAGTATCTATACAATACAGAAGGAATAGTTTTAACAGATTTTTACTTAGAATTACCTCTAGTGATTTAAGGAGTGGCACAGACTCAATAAATGATTCAAACATCTTCCTCTTTTTTGCATTGTTTTTAACTATGATTCTTCTGAAAGTTACCCGATCCTACGAGAGAGAAAATGGACATGCTTGTGTAAAAAAACAGCCCGGAGCCAGGCACTCATGGATCATCCCTATAATCCTAGCTATCCAGGAGGCTGAATACGGATAACCTAGTCTCAGTCTCCTGCTTAACTAGGATTACAGGTGTGAGCCACTGGTGCCTGACTTGCGTGATCTATTCTTTTTTGGCCAGTCCTGGGGATTGAACTCAGGGCCTGGGCACTGTCCCTGAGCTTCTTTTGTCCAAGGCTGGCACTGTACCACTTGAGCCACAGCACCACTTCCGGCTTTTTCTGCTTATGTGGTACTGAGGAGTCAAACCCAAGGCTTCATGCATGCTAGGCAAGCACTCTACCACTAAGCCACATTCCCAGCCCATATAATCTATTTTAAAGCCACTGTATCTCTCCTTCCCTTATCTTTCAGGAACACTATTTCCAATATTAGTATGTCACAGTAAAATGCTCTTTCATGTCTTTTACATGTGTCTTCATTGAGGAAATATGTTGTTAATTTTATAGTACACATTTAATGCTACCTTTAAGATAAAACAGAAGCAAACTACTGTAGATTTTAACATTAAAGTAAAATGTGGAATTTGTACAAGAGGATGATTTTAAGAAGAGTTATAAATTTTGGATATAGCTAGGTGCTGGTGGCTCACACCTGTAATCCTAGCTCCTCAGGAGGCTGAAATCTAAGAATCGCAGTTCGAAGCCAGCTTGGGCAGGAAAGTCTGTGAGACTTTTTTTTTTTCCTTTGGGTCAGTTATGAGGCTTGAACTCTGGGCATGAGCGCTGTCTCTCAGCTCTTCATCTCAAGGCTAGCGTCCTACCACTGAACCACAGCACCACTTCCGGTTTTCTGGTAGTTTATTGGAGATAAGAATTTCACGGCCTTTCCTGCCTAGGCTGGCTTGGAACCTCAATCCTCAGATCTCAGCCTCCTGAGTAGCTAGGATTACAGGCTTGAGCCACCAGCGCCCGGCATCTGTGAGACTCTTATCTCAATTAATCACAGAAGTCAGAAGCAGTGCTGTGGCTCCAGTGGTAGAGTCCTAGCCTTGAGTCAAAGAGCTGAGGGGCAGGGCCCAGGCTTTGAGTTCAAACCTAGAACCAGCAAAAACAAAACAAAACAAAACTTGGAGATACAAATCTTGATGCTGGCAGAAACAATGTGGGTCGTGCATAATAGGATACGGGGATCAAAGTAATGTTTTGCCTAAGATATTTACAGATTTTGTAGGCTATGCCCATCAGCCTTCTTAAAGTACTCCATCTAAATCTATTGAATATTGACATGAACAGTGAACAGGTAGATGGTAAATTTAGAGACAAGTTAGTACTGGGATATTTAAAAATGGAAAATGCTGCCAGGTGCTGGGGGCTCATGCCTATAATTCCAGCTACTCAGGAGGCTGAGATCTGAGAATCACGGTTCAAAGCCAGCCCAGGCAGGAAAGACTGTGAGACTCTCAATCTCCAATGAACACCAGAAAACTGGAAGAGACATTGTGGCTCAAGTGACAGAGTGCTTGCCTTGAGCTGAAGAGCTCAGAGATAGCACCCAGGCCTAGAGTTCAAGCCCCATGACTCCTCCCCCCACCACCAAAAAAAAGGAAAGTGCTATTAGTAGATCTTTCTAAAACATTTGTTTTTCTAGGCTACTGCTTCTTTTCTTGAGACAAATCTCACTATGTAGCCCAGCTTAGCCCTGAATTCATAATTCTATTTCTGCACCTTTCCAGGTGCTGGGATTACAGTTGTGGCTAGCCATATAGATTTCCACACTGCTTCTGGTATGGAGTGTTATTCTCCTCTTTCTACCCTTGTCTGATCAAAATAGAACATACAGTAAAAGCTGTATATTCCTACAAGGTCAGAAGATATAGTCACTTCTTTGTAACTTCTAGTAAATGATTTGTTGATAAATCATTTGGAATGAATGGGAAGATATCGTTGCATGGAACTTTTCATGATACTGTGCAGGTAACTATGTAGAACAGATAATGTGAAACAACTGCCCAAGGTCAGAGGCCCAGAAGTAAGGAGAATTAAAAGTGTGTATGCAAGAGGAACCATTTCTCTCACTCACCAATCCCCAAAGGGAGCCTTCTGAGGTGGCAACAATGGTAGCCGCCCTTGGGGTATTGTACATCAGAGCCAGTTCGCCAAAACTGCCACGGTTGTCATACTGACCAACAGATCGTGTCTGGTTATCTTTTGTGACTAAAATGTCATAGGTTCCCCTACAAGGAAGAAAAAGAAACAATTTAATTACATTTGATCATTTAAGAACTGGCTTGTACATATAAAACATCACAGGGAGGCTGGGAAGGTGGCTTAGTGGTAGAGTGCTTGCCTAGCATGCTTGAAGCCCTGAGTACCACATAAACAGAAAAGGCCAGAAATGGCACTGTGGCTCAAGTGGTACAGTGCTAGCCTGGAGCAAAAGAAACTCAGGGACAGTGTCCAGGCCCTGAGTTCAAGTTCCAGGAATGGGAAAAAAAAAAATCACAGGGGATTGATTTTTGCATCTTGATCTTGTATTGTAGGACCTTGCTAACCTCACTTCTTATGGATATAGTAAGGGTGTGTGTGTGTGTGTGTGTGTGTGTGTGTGTGTGTGTGTGTGTGTGTGTGTGTGTGTGTGTGTGTGTGTGTGTGTGTGTGTGTGTGTGTGTGTGTGTGTGTGTGTGTGTGTGTGTGTGTGTGTGTGTGTGTGTGTGTGTGTGTGTGTGTTTGAACTCAGGGCTTGGGTGCTGTCCTTGAGCTAGCTCAAGGCTAGCATTCTATCACTTGAACCAGAGCCTTACTTCCAACTTTTTGGAAGTTTATTGGAGATTATAGTCTAATGGACTTTCCTGCCTGGGCTGTCTTCAAACTACAATCCTCAGATCTCAGCCTCCTTAG